GCTACAAGGACTGCAGCAACCGTACAAGGCCGACGGGGTTTGATCAGCGCTGACACCGTACGTCGACGTATCCTCTCAGCAGGGCTACGTGCTCGACGTCCATGTTGGACCCATACTCACTGATCGACATCGAAATGAACGTCTGTGTTGGGCCAAAAGGCATCGTCATTGGAGATTGCGACAGTGGCATGGTGTGCTGTTCTCTGATGAGTCCCGTTTCCATTTACTGAATGCTGACGGTCGACTGCGAGTGTGGCGTCGACGTGGAGAACGTTACGACAATGACTGCGTTGTACAGACAGATCGATTGGGGGGAGGGAGTGTCATGGTGTGGGGCGGCATCAGTCACAACCATCGAACAGAGCTCCATGTTTGTCGTGGAAGAGTTAAGGCCCTTTACTACAGGAATAACATATTGGCAAATCGCGTCATCCCATTCTGTCATCAGCACCAGGATATGCACACCTTCCAGCAAGAAAATGCAACAGCGCACACAGCACGTGTTTCAACACAGGACCTAGCGAACAAATTGTGCCTCTGCTTCCATGGCCAGCCCTGTCACCCGATCTTTTGCCAATTGAACATCTATGGCATTACCTGGGTCAACGCCTCTCACGTCGTCCGCAAGTACAGAACCTGAGAGAACTTGAAGATACACTACGTCAAGAGTGGAATGCCCAAGAACACTATTCGCAGACTTATTCGATCAATGAGAAGACTTGCATGGCCTGTGTTGCTGCCAGTGGCGGACATACCAGATATTGACTTTTCATTTTAACCCTATGTGTCTTCCTTACACTGATGACGTAAATGTAATTACTGTGTGGTATTCCTGTTTCCTTGGTCGTCTTTCTTAATAATCCGTCTATGTCTGTTCTAATTAAAATCGGTCATTGCTCAAGTTGTAATAGTTTGTAATATTTCAAGATTTATTGCTGGTGCGTTTTCAATGCTGTTCAGTATATTTTAAGTCTGTATTCAGAAAGAAATGGTTTGAAAAGAGAATTTTTTTAATTTTGTGACATAGTTAATGATTTTGAAGAATTTCTTACCCTCACCGAATTTAACAATACAGTAAACTCCGTTAACAACAAACACGCTTATAACGAAATGGCGGATACAACGAACTCTTTTTGGTTCCGCCCATTTGCTGTATATATGGTGTATATATATGCTTATAACAAACTACGGTAATAAAGAACTAAAATTAGTGGTCCTTTTGAGTTCGTTATAACCGTAGTGTACTATCTGTATAACTTGACTATTTTGGCATTATTCAGTGTACAAAAGGCTATTTGACATAGCATTAGAGGTATAATTGGATGAAGTATCAGAGATAGACTGGACTCCAATGTTCTAAAAACCTATTTCTAGTACACACATGTACAAAGTTAAGGTTTAAGTGCAGAATTATTCAAAGAATGTTAACCACTGATTCTTTCCGACCTAAAATTAAAGTCACGAGTCAAAAGTCAAAATATTTGAGATTTTTGCTATCTAAATAAAGATACATAGAGGTTATCACGCGAGTGTGTTTGGGGATGGTAAATATCCTGCATTAGGAATAAACATTGTATTTAGCGAGCCTTGGCGAGCTAAATACATAGTGTTTATTCCTAATACAGGATATTTACCATCCCCAAACACACAAGCGTGATAACCTCTTTATCATATAATGTCATGCTTTAATTCTGTGCTTTAAAATCGCTATCCCTCTCTCACAAACATTACCGAAACATTGCGAGTTTTCCTGGAATGCGCGCATTAATATTTATAACGTCACAGGGTAAGTGATGTGTCAGTCAGGCAGTGACAGTAGCCAATATAGTTCCAACTGAAATCTGTTTCTTATACAGTGGCGAAGCAACATATACGCAAAACAACAGTTGTTTTTAATTGCCTTTCGCGGCAATCCATTGGTTTGTCCGCTAGAGTAACTGCCCTTTGTCAAAGGGAAGCTACTCTAACCCTAGTCTATGAGACGTCACGGACACGGTCAGACGTTGTTGACAGTCGGTCTGTCCTGTCACAACGTTAAGAAGTGTAGTCAGATGTACACACAGCGACAAAACCAAACAAGGTAACAATTCAAACATATTTCTGCCAAATCCAACTATTTTAATTTGTGGAGAAGGTTTCAAGTCGCAGAGGTCTACAAGCACAGATATTGCTACTGATCCCGCTTGGCTAGGCCTCGCGCCCTCGCAAAATTGTTTCGAAAATCATACCTCCAACGTAGCCAAAACTTATAAAATGCCTTAGCTACGTCACAGTTAGACACTGATTTTCAGTATATTAGACTGTTTTTTTTATAATGATAGCAATTATCCCTGTTGTTTATCCAGATTCCCGATGGTTAATTTTGACTCGATCGCCGAATGACGAGGACGACGCCATGTTTGTTTATAAACAGTGAAAGTAGTCCTACTTGACCTTTGATATTTGCATCTCTATCCGCATATGACCCCAACGGATGTCGTTTTTATCCGTTGGCTTTATCCTGCCGAGAAACCTGCCCATTATATGATAAAGTATCTTATCTGCTTTGGGAACTTGAAATTGTTGAATGATTCTGGGCAATTGTGTTAAAATAGATGGAGGGATGTGGTCATGTGTACAATTTAAAATGTACAACTTTCTTTGGAACTGGTTTTATTTGGATGTAAAAAAGATGCAGTAAGTGATTCTGTCTTTGATTTTTTTCTCATATTGGGTAAATTTTATATCTACAAATGTAAATGGAAGAAAGACATTCTCACATAAATCCTTTTAAGGGAGCGTTGAAATTAAGATATTTTATTGAAAATGAAATTGAGTCTATAACAAACCGTAGACCAGAGTTTTTATACCGATTGGGTTATGCGTCATTCTTTGAAACTCGTCACGATATGGCTGAAATACTGCGGATGTGACGTAAAGCATAAACTAACTCACTCATTCATTGAAAATAAATAATAATAGTAAATCATTTTGTTTTAAAGTTTCATGGAAGTAACTGTATACAAGCATACACGGCATGAATGCCAGAGTGAATGCTTTGTCTTTGTACTTCTCTTCTTTGTTATGTACAAAAACTAAAAGAAACTGAATTTACTTCTTTTTTTTATTTTGTAGATTGGACCCCTGCTTAATAATTTAAATTAAAAGCAAATAAAACAGCTCTTCGCTGTCCAGAGATGCGTGCCTTAGACATTCCAAAAACCTTTGTTCATTGTTTTGGATCCCCTTTCGCCTCGGTTATGTTTTAGGCTTGTCGTAGATTTCACCAAAGTGGTAAACGTCTCAGACCTGCATCACTTCGAGCGTCTTCACACATTGAGCTGACATGCTAGGATTTAACTGGAATACTGCTCAAAGCGGAGTTACAACCACCTAACCACGCCGAAGACCCGGGTTCGATTCCCGACATGGGTACAATGTGTGAAGCCCATTGCTGGTGTCCCCCGCCGTGATATTGCTGGAATATTGCTAAAAGCGGCGTAAAGCCATACTCACTCACTCACTCAGTAGCTGTCACGTTCCTCTTGTGTGAGTCTCGGCATTTCTCTAACGTTCTGTTTGATGCCGAATCCTTGCTCTTCCCCACACCGGTATTTATGTAACATTCATGCACGAACATTTTTTATCAGTTCCCAAAATCCTGCTTTTACCCATCTATCCTGACTGCACGAAATTCACTGAATCCTGCAAAAAGTGTGCACAGGGTGTGTTTTGGTGAATGTTTTCTGATAATGTTCTAACTTATCGCATCGTCTTTAATTCAGATAAACCTTAATTCACAAGTGATTAGTTTCTTTTGCCCGGTAGTTTACAGACCGCTTCCGTGGTCTTGTGGTAGAGCGTCCGCCTGGAGAGCGGAAGGTCCGGGGTTCGATCCCCGACCGCGTCATACCAAAAGACGTTAAAAGATGGTACTTGTTGTTACCCTGTCTGGCGCTCGGCATTGAGGGGCTAAAACAAGAACTGGTCGGCTCGGCGTCAATATATTGTGTCTGATGGGGTACTCATGTTAAACTGTGTCATTGTATCTCAGTGGGCTAGCATTATAAAATACGCATTAGTCCGGACTAGTATAAATAGAAACTCACACACGTGCATGCACTTCGCTATGTAAGTGCAATAATCTTGGACGCGACGTTAACGTTAAACCCCATTTCACCTCACCTCACCTCACCTCACCTCACCTCACCTCATCTTACCCGCTCTGTATTCCCTATGGTGAGACAACTACAGTAAAGCATGTCCTGCATTACTGTGTTGATGTTTCCATTGCAAGGGATAACAATTTCAAAGTTTTATCTATAGGAGATATTTTTTATCATTGAAGTTCTTGTTTAATTATTTTTTCTTAAGAAATAGAATTTATTGACAACTTTTGATTTAAGTTATTTCACTAATTGGTAGTATCTGAGTATTAACTGAGATTGTTAGTGGATGTCCCCTTGATGGGTTGTTTGTTTGTTTGTTGTTTAACGCCGCACTCAGCAATATTCCAGCTATATGACGGCGGTCTGTAAATAATCGAGTCTGGACCAGACAATCCAGTGATTGACACCATGATGATCGATCCACGAAATTGGGATACGATGACATGCATCAACCAAGTCAGCGAGCCTGACCACCCGATCCCGTTAGTCAAGCAAAGTCGCCTTTTACGGCAAGCATGGGTTGCTGAAGACCTACTCTACCCCGGATCTTCACGGGTCTATTGTTGTAAATGGTCATATATATTTATGATTGCTGACGGGTTTTAATACAAAACTGTTATACTCAAGTTGTTTTACAGTCCATTGTTGACATGGGTCTTTTTAATCTAAATGTCTCGGTTGTTAATGTATTAATTGTTCGTGACATTTTATGGCTGCAACAGTGCCGATGTGATTTTACATTTTAACTCACCCACTCACTCACTCACTCACTCACTCGCATATAACTGAATAATTGCTCACGTGATATACAAATAAATTCACATACGCTCTCCTTATAAAAATTAAGATCACCTGCATAATACTGCCAGCCGGGCTCTTTAGTGCCTCCTGTGTTGATGAAGGACTTGTACAGGCGACATCGTTTGGACGTTGGGTTGTACAGCAGCATGTTACAGAGGGGGTGACGGTAACAACGTCCTGTACATGATAATTTTCCTTCCACGACGTGTTCAGACATAAAGGCCTCATTAAACAACAGATTGTCCAAACTTGAGTGACGTCGAACATGAAACCCGCCACAAGACTGAAGGGCAGATATCAGTTTATGGAATACAAGCGTCAGGAGAAAGATGTCCCGTTTGAACATAGTGATTCCTCCACACTGCAACACTGGAATCTACGTAACTGCGAGGTTGACTCGTCTGTTCAAAAGCCGTGTTGTCAGTTCTGAATCTGTTCCAGATCAATAAACATTATGCATGTAACATGACTCCTATCCGGGAACACTGTGTTCGAATCAACATTCAACTCTTATTGATTCATAAATTAAACGTGCGTCTTTGTTAGAGGAAAAGTGACACCTCCGTGCACGTAGGACGACAAGCCGTGGTGACGGAGAATTGTTTGCTAATAAACACAGTAGAACTACAGAAACGGGCGATATGGGATTCCACATACTTCCATTATACATCATCTGTAACAAATCATAATTACATTATTGATCGTCTAGAAGAATCAATCGATTCCACGGTAAACCAAATCTCATTAAAATCAGATCTTAGTTCTCGCTACCGCTTTTAACAGTATTGCAGCTATATCGCGGTGTGCCAGCTTAATGTGGGAGGAAAGCCCGAAGTGATGAAGGTCTCAGATGTTTACCACTTCGGTGAAACCCACGAGTACGGGTATAGTGCTGACAAACCTAGAAACGGATTCTTCACGGGCCTATCACATCAAGGGACAGAAAAACGTTTCACAAGGGAACCAAGTCAGCAAGACTGACCACCCGATCCCGTCGCTCACGACAAGCATAGTCGCCTTTTCTGGTAAGCATGGGTTGCTGAAGACCTATTCTACCACGGATTCTTCACGGGCCTATCACATCAAGGGACAAAAACTTTTTCTTGCTGACTTGGTTTATGCATGTCATCGTATCCCAATTGTTTGGATTGATGCTCATGATGTCAATCTCTGGATTGTCTGGTCCAGACTCGATTAATTATTTATTATTTATAGCAAGAATACTGCCGAGTGCAGCGTTGAACAACAAACAAACCAACAAACTTGGCCTATTGTTTGCAAGTGTAGTTTGTTCCAATGTATGTTATTTCATCAGCATGTTAAGGAACGGTGTGCTGCTTAAAGATCCGGGGTGGAATAGGTCTTCAGCAACCCATGCTTGCCGTGAAAGGTGACTATGCTTGTTGTAAAAGGCGACTAACTGGATCGGGTGGTCAGGCTCGCTGACTTGGTTGATGCATGTCATCGTATCCCAATTGTTTGGATCGATGCTCATGATATCAATCACTGGATTGTCTGGTCCAGGCTCGACTATTTACAGACCACCGTCATATAGCTGAAATATTTTTGAGTGCGGCGTTAAACAACAAACCAATCGTCTAGATAAGTTGCATTGTGACAAAGACCACTTGCCATTTGATTCTAAAATGTATGAGGAATTCAGGGATGCATGTATCGCAGCTTAGTTGGAAATATACGTGATCTAATAGGCGTCTCATAATCGGCACCTGAAACGTGATTTTGTAAACACTATCCAATATGGTGGCACGTACACTTCGGCGTTTGTGTGAGCGAATTTTCCAAAACATTCTAACCGATTCTAGGCGACGTTTCAAATCACTCATTAGTGATTAGATGAAAAAACAGATACCCAGATTCAGATACAGAATATGCTACTTTTGACATTCAATTCTTTTAGTAAATATCCTATATTTAGATTTCTAAACACGGAGTAAATAACGCCGTGAATGGTAATTTTGCTTTGCCTAAAATGACAGTGGATATGATATCACAGAAGAGGGAATTTCCCACCGAATTCAAAACTGCGAAGTGTGTTAGGCCTAGTGTGCGTAGTGTATTTTAATTTTTTTTCGACTTGGAAGTGAGGGTTGAAGAGGAGTGGCATATATGTCGATGTGGAATCAATAAGGGGCTTTACACTAAAAAATTCCATAACGTTCAACACAGACGTAGGTGAACACTCGACTGAAGCACGAGCAACTTATCAATTACTTACATCAGGAAAGTAGTCCGTCATAATCTGACCTCAGGTCATCACCATGGAGTAGCCAATCACGGGCCTGGAATTCGATCTCACGCATATGTTTGATGCCAGTTATCTCAAATGGGTTTCTAACCCACAAGCGTGTAAGAAGTTTGGTGTGAAAACGAACGCTGTGCTCGGAAAACTGCACTTGTATGAAATGTAAACAAAGCAAAATTCAGATTTTTTCACTGTAGCATTTTCAACTATTTTGAGCTATCCATTCGTCTATTCTTTGCATGCATTGTCTCAACATTTTCAGAATATGCATGGTAAGAGAATCGTAGGAAGAATTCGGGAATTAAAAAAAGATACATCGCAATGATTTGGTAAAGTGAACAGAAAGTGTTTACGTTTCCGTCCTGCGTTGAGCCATGACAGATGCAAAATCACGTAGATCTACAACGACAACGGTATTTATCGGCATTTTTTACTATTTCTCTCGGTTTCAATGAAAAATATAACAACAAATAACAGTAAACAGATTGTCAGAATGTGTCTGATTACTTACTTGTCACATTTAAGTACACACGATCCCTAAATCAACGAAAGTCCCCTCGTAAAGTCCCGCGTGATGTTGTCACTGAACACGCTATTTTGTAAAAGTCGGTCACCGGAAGTGATGTCATACGTCAACATTGTTGTATACATTTGGTAATTTCTTTGAGGTGAAGGTCCTTGAATGACAGTGCACACGATCATTGTATCCTGTTGTTTACAGTTTCAATTATGATGTTGATTTCGCATATCTTTCATACATTTTGTCACAAGTAATTTCACAATAATTATTTATCAATGTTTTGTATGATATCATACGTAGATAAAGGCAACAAATTCTATGAACCTTTGATAATACCCTGTTTCTCTGTACATTTGAACAAGAAATTAAAAAGTTTTTAGTGTCGTATGCGATATTTCTTTCCTTCAGACAAGTGTTAGAAGATGTGTAAGAAGATGTAAATGTAAATGTAACTTTAGAATGTAATAATCAGTATTGTAATTTCATATAAACAGGTTAATGAATGGCCGTTTCATTTTATTTTAAAACTAAAACTGAATATATAACTGTAATAAAGTGGATAATATTTTTTTGTTAAAATATATACACACAATTTTTAAAAGAATTGTCTTGGTCTGGAATTGTTATCTTATGTCGTTTGATATACAGAACGGTGATGCCTAACGATTCGCCAGGTGCGCGTTAGCCACAAACGATTTACGAATTATTCCTCTCGTTTTGTATTATATATTCAATGGGTTCACCACTTTTTAAATATTGTGATCACAGGATAATAAACTGTTTTCTTTATTTCTCCAAGAACTGTAAAAAGTCTAAAAAATATAAACCGTGTCCTGTACCCCTCTGGAGGAACCTTTTTCGATTATCCTGTTAATTCTATACCAAAGAATCTTTCTTCGCATCTTTTATTGTATTATTCTGAAACGAGATTAAGAGAAATAATCACATAATAATGAACAAATATATGTTCAAAATTGAACATACGTTTGTTTGCTTTGAAGTATTCTTTTGGGTATTTGATTACGTAAAATTGATGCTAAACAGGTGCGTGTCTTGTCCAGTTAGGATACATGGCAAACGATCTATTATATGATTAATTGTTTATCTATTCAAGACATTATTTACATGGTAAAATCAGCTATTTATGTTTTATCGAAAAAGCGTCAAATTCCGTTTTACACATCGAGATTTTCAATACCATGAACGAAAATTAGGGGAGATATATATTAATCAAAATACCACTGTCAAATAGAAAGGTGTCATTTTAAGTAAGTCATTATATTTGATGATAAGGCTAATGTTCATTAATAATGGAATAATCAAATTCACTAACACTATCAGGAGAATGTTGGAATCTAAGGACTAATTTATAGGTTAGTTTGGGCCATCCATTTCGCTATTACTACTTTTTTTATTAAGTACGATTTCATAATTTCTTATGGCTTTGTTCATGCCTAAACGTATACAGTTTCAATATCGATATTTGTGTTGGAATAGTTTGGTTCCTCGTGAACAAAACACCACGAAAATATATTGTCCTTATCCACCCTAAGTGCTAAGCATAGAGGAGTTACGTCCCCTTTTCCTTGTACGTGCGTAACCTCTCTGTCGTCTTTTGACGTCATAGAGCAAAATCAGTTTTCGTCATTTACGGCAAGCTATTTTTTGTACACATAAGCATATATATAAATTCATTTGATATACATTTATGTCATTCAGATATCAGGGAGTATTTTGTTCGCTCACAGTTTCTGTGAAGCTGCTATATTAAAAAAATTGACGCACAGTACTTTTATCGGTGTACGATAAAAAGCGGCGAAATTTGCTGTTTTTTTCAACGCAGAATAATTTCTCGGACAACACTTAGAAGTGTCTTTTTTCTAAACCGGTTAAACAACCAACCAACCAACCTTGGCAAGAAAGTAGACTTAGGCTCAAATAAGTGTTCCGGAGCATAACCATGAAACTGTTTACACATTCTAGAAGGAAATCCGTGAAGATCCGGGGTAGAATAGGTCTTCAGCAACCTATGCTTGCCGTAAAAGGCGACTATGCTTGTCGTAAAAGGCGACTAACGGGATCGGGTGGTCACACTCGCTGATTTGGTTGATGCAATTCATCGTATCCCAATTAGGTGGATCGATGCTCATGATATCAATCACTGGATTGTTTACTCGATTATTTACAGACCGCCGTCCTATAGCTGAAATATTGGTGAGTGCGGCGTTAAACAACAAACAAATCAAACAGTGGACATTTCAGACAATGAAAAATATCCAACACTACACATGCATGCAATGAAGGATAAGAGAGACACGTTTTCTGAAATTTCATGTGTAGTGTGTGCAAATTTGGCGGCCAAATCATACGTACATTTTAAACGTTGGTTGATTTGTTGTTTAACCAAGTCAGCTAGCCTGACCACCCGATCCCGTTAGTCGCCTTTTACGACAAGCATAGTCGCCTTTTACGGCAGGCATGGGTTGCTGAAGACCTATTCTACCCCGGATCTTCACGGGTCTTGAAACGTTGAAGATATGGAGCTCGGATTACACATTTACTTTCCAGCATGCATACCTTTGGGTAATACTGTAACTTCGTGAGGTGCAAATATTTACACAACGTGGAAATGAATTTTAAGAGAATTCA